ATAAGGTACAGTAGTAGTAAAACAAATTATAATATTGTGGCAGAGATTAAAACTGTATAGAAAAGTTGAGTGGAAGAAAAGTATAGTGGGATAAGAGGCCTTGGCAAGAGATAAAAGCACAGTACCCTAGATCTAACATGGCACCTTAGACCGTTGCCTCAGTGTATTGGTGCATTCTCTTTTGTTTTGTTTTATTGTATATAGCTACAGATTCAGTATTCTGTATATATATCTAATTTGTCTGCACCATCAACACCAAGTCAAATTCCTTGTACCGTAAGTGCAAACCTACTTGGCAGTATATTCTGATTCAGAGTCTTAATGGGATTATCAAACATAATTCATTTGAGAATTTTTTAGAGCTTCACAATGAGTGGACAGAGGCTGGATAGTGATAATTAATGATAATTATCCTAACAATAGAGAAAATAAAGAACCACGTCCCACAAAGGAATGTTAAACTTTTTATGACAAGCAGCTTCTGAGATAGAATGAAAAAGAATGATCTTCACACTAGTTAGAGCCCCCCAAATGGGTTTATCCACCAAGCAGTAATGTTTTGGCCTTTCTTCAGACTCATGTGGCCCAAAACGTTGCGGATCAAACTTTTTCATTTGTTATCTGCAATGTCTTTGTAGTCTAACCCCTTTTCTCAACTTTCTCAGGATGTGTGTGATTTTGCAGCTTTATCATGCTGCTTCTAAACCATAGACAGCTTTAGAAGCATGTTTTCTTTTCTGAAGAGGAAAAAAAGGAGTGCTGATCAGTTGTCCAAAATCCTGTCCTGTCAAGGTCTAGCCTTGAGGTAGAGTGAAGGAGCCGCCATCCATGTTACTTAAAACCATGTGTGCAGTTTCTACATCAAGTGAAGATTTCTGGAGTCCTGTTGTCTGCTGTTGTTGCTCCACTTTATATTCTTAAGTTCACAATCAAATCAACCTTCTACCATCAAAGCAGGGCTTGGGACCTGTCCACATTACCAAAGGTATTAAAAGCTGATCTGTGACCATGTTGTGAGAAAACCCATCTGACCAGAGACTCATAGAGGATCAATGGAGGAAATTTGAGACACCAGACCCAACAATACAGATGGCCTGAAAGTTTCTATTAAAGCAAAAACAATGGAACTTTAATGATCTCACATTCGAGAAATCTACCTCTACATTTAACCCATCCCCTTGGGGAGCACTGGGCTGCCATCATAGGACATATGGGGAGCAGTCAGGGGTTAAGTGTCTTGCTCAGAGACCCAGAGTGGCAGTGGGGTTCGAACTCAGAACCTCAGGGTTCCAACCTCTATGCTCTAACCACTTGACCGCCACTCGCCTGCGCCATCGAAGCAACTGAGCTTGCACAGCACTTCAGCAGGGCACATGCTGATCGCCTCCATGCCATGCTGGGCTGATGTAGCATTTCATGCATATAAAGGCTCAGCCAATTATTGAAAGTATTTATATTAACACACTTTTGAAAAGCTTAATTTTTCTAGTAAAATAATTTTTTTATGCAAAATTCATTTCCCTGTATAGTACAAAATGTACCTTAAAATTGTACCCTTTCAGCTAACCATTTGCATATTTAAAGAAATACACAAATTTCCTCCATAAAATCGCTGTTTTCTTGGTTCTTTTGTAAATGTGGCGTACCAGATGACTTCAACATTGGCACATGTTTTTCCTGACAACCGGACTATCTAGCAGAGTCAGTCCTCTTGACATGGTGATTAACAGCGTAGCCATGGGCAGGGTGGGGAAAGGCTTGTGTGAATCCAGAAGATTACCATGGCTCTTCACTCCACCCATCCCCCAGACTAGTCAGCCAATTACACACACAAACTCTTATGCAAAAGGCTCAAAGTATGTTTAAAAACACCTTGGCTGTAATAAATCAGGATTATCCATGGCTTAAATAAACCTTTGAGCAGTTGATTGGAAAATTAAGGCATGCATCAAACATCATAAGTCCTCATGACTAACTTTAACTAATTTAGAGAAATGCCACAGTCTCTGGAC